AAATTTTGCTGGAAAGCACTCTCCTACTGCAACGTGGCTTTAGAAGAACGCACTGGCTCAAAATCTCCCAGTACTGCAGAGAAATAACTCATCCAAAAGTGAACCTCCCCCCCCCCCCCCCCAAAAAAAAAGTTATGAAAGCATTATAATTTCTAATTGAACTTCTCTAAATGGACAAATGGGTACTGGATTCATTCAAGAGAGCATGGAAGCATTAGTGCTTATTCTAAGGCTCATGCTACTTACCATGAGAAACTGTTGACTGTTTGGGATGGTAATGCCAGGATTACCCAACCCCAACATTGGAGAACTGTTCAAAGCAGTCATGGTGGGTCAGAATGACAACCACTGTCAGTCTCCCAGAGCCCTTCTTTCTGTGGCAGAGACTAAGAAGTTTCAGAAGATACCTGATTAGATTCAGGGCTTCAGAATGGAAATAATAGCTGGAACTAATCACAAAACGAAATCCACCTAAAAGAGAAATAAGAAAACATTTTTTATTAACTTTTGTTCTGCTGTTCTTGCTATATCCACTTCAAACCAATTGGCATTGACATTATTCAGTTGCTCACATACCATATTTCAGCAATTAATTTGAGAAATTCTCATTATTTTATGTTTATAATTATGAAATACAGGTAAATGACAACAATCAATATGAGATACAATTCACATGTCTATGGAATGTTCTGTCATTCAGACTACATGACTATCTCATAGGTGAATGTGTTAATCCTGCAGTCCAGAACTGTGGACAATTAGATTTGAATCTATATTGATATATATTCATTAGAGCAGAAGATTCAGTTTTCACTAAGTGTAAACATACAGATGAAAGCAGACAAACCACTAGCAATAAATTCTGAGAGACTCTTCAAGGTGGTGCAGCCAAAATTCAAAAGAGAATATTCTGCATAGGAAAATGCTCAGGAATAAAGTGGATGTGGTCACACAGGAAAATATTCAACAATAATATGGTAAAATGTGAAGATTATGCCAATGGAAAATGGCTAATTTAAAATGAGAATGGCTGATGAGAGCTACAAGGATACAAGAACTCTTGTACTTTTCTAGAACACAGGGAGCAAAATTTTGGTTAAAGTCGCTATCCTCAAATTTGGTTTACTGAACAATCAATGTATCCTTTTTCTTTCTTGTTTCCGATATCCTCAGTACTTTTATGATAGTGTCACATGAAGGAAGTTCACTTCCTGACACAGCCCATGAGGGTCACAGGTCCCATCATGGGAAGGATTTGGGTTCAAACCCAACCACAGTTGACATTTTATTCCCTAATCACCATATATCTGCTGACTATCCCATGATAATCATGAATAAGGGGTTAGGCCCTTCTCAATTTCCCATTAGAGAGTTGCATTTAACTCTTTCTCTTAAACAAAAGGCTATCATTGCTGATGAAGGTAATGGTGTGCAACTATAGCAAAGATAGGTTGCTTATACATTTTGTACACTTGCTCCTTTGACCTGGGATACCTTACCAGAGGTTGGGATGGGGCAAAAGGGGTGATCACTCCAGAATAACAGACATGAGGGTTAAACAGCAATCAATAGTAAAACTCCTGCTCATAAAAGGTCTGGATTTGAAACTTTCTGAGCAAGTGAAAACAAGTATCACCCTTCCCAGGTCCTCAAATATTGTTGACACGAATATCATTTGTCACCATCAGCATTGTAAGACAAAACTGACCATCTCTTCCAGAATGAAACAGAATTTAATTGCTTCTTATAAATAAATTTTCAATCTGACCATTCACTGCATAGTACTGTCTATACCACCAAATTTGAAGGATTTGTGAACATTTAAAAAGTATTCAAATTGCTCACATTATGAAACAAAATTGCAAATGTAAATTTGAAGTTTTTCGATCCTAGGAAAAATAAAAAAGTTGGTATATTCATCATTGATTCCATCATGTCCACTATCCCTAATATTCTGAGAATACTGGAGCGATATCCATTTGCAATGAAGTCTTAGGGAACTGAGAAGAATGATAATAATGTTCCTTTATTTGGCTAGCTGAGAGCCACAAAAGTTTCCTCCAGAAAATGTGCTTGGAGTTACACCAGGGAATCCAGCACAAAACAAAGATTCTTATTTGCAGCTTAGTTTTGAATAGGTTTTGACTGAAACTAAGGTAAGTCTATTGATTCACAATGGGAATGATGAAGCTTAACATAAACCTAGTTTAATCAAAGGCTGAGGTGGTCAAAGAAAATAATTAAAATGAGTCATAATATATGAGACCAGAAGCCCTCCACCTGTGTCCTATGGTACAATGGAGGGCTGAAAATGTTATGGGAGCTTTTGTTCCCTTGTCCTTGCATATGCCCTTTTAGAATTGAATGTGTTCCATGTACTTTCAGAGCTATTTCTCACATGAGAAATATGGCCTCCTTGTAGATAAGCAACTGAGGAAAAACCAGGTTCCCTCAACTATCTCGCTGAAACCTCCTTTAGTTAACGATCCTTAAGGAATACATGGAAGTCTACGGGGGGGGGGAAGAGCTCTTTAGCTTAAAGGAGGGAAAGAAAGCAGCAATGCCCCTTTACTGATGTAATGGAAGAGCAATATTTGAATTGTGCAGCAAATCTCTGCTGAAGAACTGCTACCAGAGTATGACACTTCCAATAGCTGGTTACTTATAGAGGAATAATGCAAAGACCTTTGTGCTGCTGCAATAAATATCATGATACCCTTATCCAACATATGCTTGGGTGAATCTATCAGCTCTCAAGTAAAAAAATTTAAGCAACAAGCTCAGGTTCTGTCTGAAAACCAAACTCTACCTGCATCAGCTGACTTCAAAAGTTGGAAAGTTAGATGCAATAAAAATTTTCTTGTGAAACCACAGGTGAAGGTGAAGTGGAGAAAAAAAAACCTGACAAGTTCAAATGAATCACTATAAAATGAAGGTTTTACTAAGTGACATTTTCTTGCAGAGCTTATAATGAATGAATTTTGATATCCTATATTTGTCTAATCATTCTTTTGCCTTATAGTACTGTTTCTTTTAGATCAATGGGAAAGCAGGGACACTGTCAATAATTCACAGCTCAAAAGTGCAATAGGTGATTTAAAATTGGAAACTGCAGCATTAAATCAACACAATGAGAATACTTTGCAAATATGGGTCAGAGAATTTAACCTCTACAAGGAGGCCATATTTCTCATGTGAGAAATAGCTCTGAAAGTACATGGAACACATTCAATTCTAAAAGGGCATATGCAAGGACAAGGGAACAAAAGCAGGGCCAGAGCATCTCAGATCAGTCAATGAGTTGAAAAGAATGGAGATCTACAAACTCTGGAAATAATTATGTACTGCTGAATTTCTTTAGCTAACAAAAATGAAAAATCTATAAACTCAAGAAACAAAGATAATTATGAAAAGATCTCTGACCAAACTATCAAGTGCCTTCAATAGTACCAATTCTTTTGGATTCAAAATCTTAAATATGAAAGATAAAAGACTGTTTCAAAAGAAGATAGTCAAATGTCTTTCCACAAGGGAACATATAGGCATCACTTATAATTTTCAGATTCTATCAAGCAACAAAGTCCAGGGGACGATTAAATCCACCACGTCTGTTCATATACTGACGGTACTTCCTCTTGAGAACTACATGAACATTGCCTGAATCATTTCCTGAAATGTGCTTTCCTTGCGTTGTATCAAACTGGCAGAACCCCATGATTTCCTTCATCTTCTTCTCTTCCTCTGTGAGTTCATCCTCTGAAAAACATTGGAAATATAAATAATGATGAAACATGTACCTGCACCTATGATTGAGCATGTACCCTCAGAGATGTATGTAATTCCAGATGTTTTATCTGCAAGCATCCAAAGCATTGTCAGCAACCCACACTCACCAGCAACAGATTCTTGTACATTTTGTGTTCTCCCACCAGTATACTGGACAGGTTTACTGCGATGTCCTCGACTTCTGTCTCCATCTTTCTCAAAAGGTGACTTGGACATATTCTTTGATAGTGGAGATCGGCTACAAGCAGAACATCAAATAAATTGGGTTGAGCATACTTCCTGACAGACAATTCAGCCTAAATTTCAAATAAGCATTTTCTGTGAAAAACATAAGCCAAAAATAAAATATTCAAGGCAAGAGATGTTCTTTGAATTTTTGAGAAAGAATTGACAAGCAGCCCATCCCCTTTTCCAATAATAATTTGAATAAAGAAGCAGGAAGATGAACATAAAAAAAGAGCATACCTTGAAAAAATGTTAGCATGATAAAAGCCTACCCAACTGATGTTGTTCTTGTGCCTTTGCTAAAATAAAAAAAATAAAAAATGTATACATGAAAAGGGCCTACAAGAGTTTAAAGAGATAAACTGAAGAATGAATCAATTCAATTTGGATTGGATACAGTGGTGGAATGGGGGTGGGGCAGGACAACTGCCCCCCCCTAAGGCCAGGTTCACAATCTATTTTATACATTTAAAAAGAACCTAAATTAATTTTTCCTGGCACCTGTGAAATAGATATCCAAGCTTTTACCAAAAACGAAAAATGAAAAAGGTGATAGGATGATGCATGATGATAGATGGGAGGGTGGAAGAGACAGAGGAACCTCTGTGCCATGCTAAATAAATGGTAACAGTCACAACCACTCTGATTTCATGGCAAATGCAGATGTGGTAGAATTTCCCTTCCCCAGGAAATTATTTTTTTTTTTCTGGTTCTGTTTTGCAATGTGCTTCTTCATTGTCATGCAAGAGAATGAGGCCAGATTCCAACAGTAGAGAAATCACAAGTAGCATCTTCTTTTCATAGTGGTGCTCAATGGAACTGCATGGTATTGCAAAACTCCATTTTGTCAAACAATTCATGCCCATCCAAGGCCACTGGAGTATATTTTCTGACTTTCAGAATTGGAAGGGATAGCATCAAAGGTGTTATATTGTGCAACATCATCCAAGGAAATATGTACATGGGCTAGATGAGAATGCAATGAAATCAAAGTGGCATGTTTCTCACTATTGTGTGGATATCTATAATACAAGACCAAGGGCAACACCAATGAAACTTCCTCTTTGACTGCAGCAGGAAGAAGTGGGGTTCATAAGACTGTGACATCAGGAACTCATTCAAATACAAGTTTTTCTGCAGTCAGAATGTTAAGATTCCCAGTACCTTGTTATCATGAAGAACACAATTATATATACCATGCTCAACCTAAGCAGATCATCTTGTCACTGAAAAATGATAGGCTACATATCTAGATGCCAGCCCAATTTATGAATATTTGTCTTATTCAAGTATACCCATATTTCCTCATTTAAGAATGTTTTCTTCTTTATTCAAAGGAAATATGACATGACATTCCAGCAAGTGTGTGAGCATCAGGATTTAGATCTGTTCCTACAACTTCTCCCCCAATAATTCCAGGCAATCCCCTCCCTTGCAAGGGGCTGGACCTATCCTCCTTCAAGGTCAGCATGAATGAGATTAATTCCTTCATTCTAGCTCACTCTTCATCAATACATGCTTACATATCAGCCATGGAGAGATGGAGAAGATGACAGAGGAAGTAAGGGGGAAAGCAAAGGAAAATTTCAATATAAGGAAATTTGCTCTGTCTCCACCCCGTCCCCCTCTCTCCGACAGCACTCGCAAGAATCATCATATCAGATACTATAGGAACTGCATGATACTGTTCTCAGAATTTTGCTTCAACTGAACCAAAGTATCAACCAAATACCATCATGATTTTTTTTTGTCTCAGTGTTACATGTCTGCCATTTTAACAGTGAAAATTGGAATAGATAATAGCCAGCCTCAAAGAAACAAGAAAATATGGAACAAGCAGATGACCTGGGAATTGCCCACCTTCGTCCATGAGAGCGATCAGCACCCTGCTGATCATAGTCCTTGTATCTATCACTTTCACGGTCTCTTTCCAAATCACGATCACGCTCCCTATCTCTGTCTCGATGCCGGTCGCGATCACGATCTCTGTCTCGCTCTCGATCACGTTCCCTGTCTCGATCCCGAAAGCGATCACGGTCCCTGTCTCTGTCACGATCACGTTCTCTGTCTTTGTCGCGATCACGCTCCTTCTCTCTCTCCTTCAATTTCTCTCTTGATTTTGATCTGCGTCTTTCTCTATTGTGTCTGTCATCTCTCTCACGTGATCGAGATCTTGCTGGCATGATTCACAGGAACAGAGTAAGCCTATATCTAAAAGTAAGAAGCTTTTAAATTCCCATTGGAATACTGATATATCAGAGAAACATTAGTAGGCCTAGAACTAGCCAAGAATTCTGTTGGCCTATCCCCTCTCCTCTTGGGTTACAAAATCTTTATATTCATGGATTTCTCATTAAACCTCAGACTTAGTACCTTTTAGGTGAAGTGTACCCATCTCTTTCATCTCTACTAACAAATTTTTTTTTTAGACAAGTCAATTCAAACTCAAGAGGGCTGGTCCATAGAAGCAATTTTTATGACAAAATGGAAAAATATGCCCAACAGATATAAATCCTCAATCCTTTTTTCACTTCAATGTTGAACTGGAACAAACTGAATCTATAGACCAGGACCAAGCTAAATCCATAGCTGCAAGTATATATTCAAGTCATAATAATGGTGAACTGGATTTAGGGTCAACATCAACAAAAATCATCTGGAAGGGAAATTAACTCTCCTTCATGTGATCAATATCAGTTCCAGCACATAAAAATCCCATCTTAATATATCAATATTATCCTAGTGAAGTACATTAGATATAGATTTTTGTCAATTATAGTGATTAGCAGATGAATTTGTACCACCTTCAACATGGGCTCCATAGGCAGTGTTCTTTCTTTCATGGAAATCTCACCTTGAATACACAACAGAAATAAAATGCAGAATGCAAAAAGTAATAAGAATTAATTCCCAAACCATTGAAGGAGCAGCTCACCTTGTCTTGAGCATATCAGGGTTAGCAAGCTTACACCTGATCCTGTAACTACCAGAACCCAGAAGACCATATGTTTAACTCATTATTTAATCTCTTCAAAACACTTTGCCTAATTACTACCACATGTCTTCAGGAATATACACGGAGAACCAGACTTTACAAATTTGTAGCACAGCCTACACAAATGACTAAATTTTGTACGGTAGTTACCGAATTAAGCCTGAATAAATGCACACTTCATATCAAGCGAGAAGGCAGTCCATTCCCTCTATAAGCTTAAGGTTTGACCTTTTGACCTAGGCCTAGGGCCTCTATCTCTACGGCATTTCTTGAAATAAAGAGAAACTAGAGAAATGCCTACCGCAGACTTCTCTGTAATCTGAATTTTGTAAGCTCCTAGGCTAGGCATTTCCAATACCTCCTTCTCCACCATGATTGAAAACGCCATGGGATTCGTGATGCTCAACAAGGCTGTCCAATTTCGATAACCAATTTTTTTTGGCACAATAAAAAACTTAATACAACTCGGGAAAGGAAGCATTTTTCCACAAGTGCCAAATGAGGATAACATTATGAACATCAACTTCCCTCATTAGAAAGCTCAGTCAAATTGTCAACAATGAAAGCGGTTATTTGGCAAGTTCGATAGCGTCACATGCTAGTTGGGCATGTTGCACCTACCACGGTTTCATGGCGATGCGTTAGAGGCACGTGCTTTCAGAAACGTAAAACATTTTGCTGTTCACAAGGAAGACATTAAAATACTTTGAACCTAAGCTTGAAGCCATCGGCATATCTAGACATGGATAGATTGCACAAGTTCACAGCATTTGGACGAAAGATAATCGGCGTTGGAAGAAATTACCGGCGAGTTTTCCTTTTGTTCTTAATTTGTCTATGCCGCAATAACGCAGATGATCCAACTGAAGTAACTGCCATATCCTCGGTTCCATTCACCCGAATGAAATCTGGTTCAAGCTTTAAGGGGACATAGGATGAATTCATACGATCGTGGTAAGAGTTAATAGAAAGGATTTGCTTTTTTGGGCCTAGCCATGCTTTTCTGATTTATGTCCGACCCAGTTACTAATAGTTTTTTTTTTTCTCTCCATTGAGCTTCACACCTTTTACCTTACTTCCATGTGATCATGGGAGGGAGGGAAAAATTCATATGAAAATTCAATTCTGGAAATGTCATTTTAATTTTTATTGGCCCACCCCAGCAAAAAAATTGTCTTATGAAAATTTATTTTTCATCACCTATCCCTACAGAGACCATGCGGCAGAATTAGGGAATGTGATTCCAGACAAGCCTCTGCTATTCCTCAAACCACCATCAAGCTATATTTTAGAAGGGCAAAAGATAGAGGTAAGCCTACCTCAGGCATGAGACACAGACATACATGAGTATGAAAAACATCAAATAGTGCCTTATTTTCCAGATTCCTTTAGGATGCCATGTGCTACATCATGAAATAGAATTGGGAGTTGTCATTGGCTCAAAATGCTCTCGAGTACCAGAACACCAAGCAACACAGCATATAGGTGGTTATGTTCTAGCTTTGGATATGACTGCTAGAGACTTCCAGGTATGCCATTCAAAGCTTATTTCTCAGAGTTGCAATGAATAACTGAAGCAACATAGTGCAATAACCATTTAATGACTCTTCTAGGATGAAGCCAAGAAAAAAAGTGCACCATGGTCATTAGCAAAAGGATTTGATACTTCCTGCCCTGTTAGTCGATTTCTCAGTCAAGATGAGGTGAAGAATCCTTCCTCTGAGAGGCTTTGGTGCACTGTAAATGGAGTTATGAAACAGGAAGGGACAACAAAGGATATGATCTTTCCCATCCAGAAACTTATCTCTTACATCAGTGATTACTTTACTCTTGAAGAAGGAGACCTTATTCTCACAGGAACTCCTGCTGGTGTGGGCCCTGTGCAATCTGGAGATATCATTGAAGGTGGCTTGGGTGATATCATAAAATTCAAGTTCTCAGTAATTTCAAGAACTTGAATAACACAGGAAAGCAATGTGTGATCCTCAGAGTTAGGTTTAAGAAATACAGGGTGTCTCAAAAAAAATTAATTTTGCAATATTTTTTCCCTGTATTATACTTGAATAAAAAATTGTGTCAGTTTACAAGAGAAGAGATAAACTTTCTTTATGTACAAACCACATGAAAATTAATTATTTATGAATTGAGATAGAGAACAGGGAAAATTAGACTCAAAGAAATTTGCTCAGCATTGCAAAAGAACATGTTAAAGGTGTGCTCTTCCTTAATGCCAGCACACCTTCAGACAATTAACAAGATTTTATTCTCTGAGCTGTTTCTGCTCTGATTTTAGAGACCTCTGTGCAGATCCTCTTTTGACATTCTTGGTGAGACTGAGGTTTACCTGGTCTGTATATGTGATTCTTCAAGTGGCCCCACAGCCAGAAATCAGATCAGACTAGGCTAGGCCATGATGTGAACTTGCCCTCAAAAGTCTCACAAAGAAATTAAAGTGCTATGTATGATGTATTTCACTGTCCTGCTGGAACCACATCTGTTCTGCATTGGGAAACCAACATTTCTGGCAAAAAATCTACAAGATTTTCCAATAATTCTCTGCATTTGCACTTGGTTTGTTTTCATTTTAAAAAAAGAATGATCTAATGATACCATGCATGATTAATTATTAACAAGGCTTCCATTAAAAGTGCAAAAACACAGTCACTTCAGAAAATGCTGTGGCCTCTTAGGTGTCATATAGTCTGTGGGTACCGAAGTAGACTGAGTTTCTTGAGCACACAAGTCTGTCAAAATGAAAATTACTCTCATTTGAGAACCAAATGGAATAGAGAAAATCTGGATCTTCTCTGCACTTATTGAGAAATATTTAGCAAAACATTCTCTGAAACACCATGTCTAGACATGCTAACTTTGGCTTAACCTGGATTCAGTATGAAAATAATCCCAGATCTTTCAGCAAAATCCTTTGGCGGCTTGCTCTTGAAATGCCAGTTTATCTGGAGAGCCTTTTAATGTGGCACTTCTCAAACAGGTTGCGACCCCCTTGACACGAGGGTCAATGTGAGTGAAAGGAAATTTGAGAACCACTATTTTAATAGATTGCTTTGGGGTACATGTCCCTTCATATATCTCAATATTGTTCTCACTTCTTGCTCTCTGAGGACAACCAGAACAGTTGCAATTCTGGTTTGGGACACAACCACTTTGCTGGAATTTTTGGTAAGCTTCCCCAGAGCTACACAAGCTTTTTTTTAAATGTTTGCTCAAACAAATATTGAACATGGGCATAGAGTAAATGTTCATTGTTCTTACTCTTGTGAAGATTGGTCACCAATAAGAGTGTTTAATGCAACAAATAATGGAGGAATTTTCGCTTCGAAACTGCTACAAGCAGGTCACTGATGTTAGCATTGATGGAAAGAACATTCTTTGGAATTTTTTTCACAGTGACTTGGAATAAGACTCAATGGAAATTGCTTGAAATGCATACTAGAAAGAACGATTAATGGTACACCTTGTTGAATCCTCTTCTAGAAAATTACTGGGTTTTTTTTTTCTCCTAATTTCAGTTAGACTTGAGAAACAGAAAAAAGGATTAATTAATTAAGCTTACTTTCACTGTCAGGAAAAAAGGCTTTGCAATTGACACTGGAGCAACAAAGAAAAGGTGCCACCTGGATGGAGACCTTTGTGAGAGTCCCATCAGAGTTAAAAAGGGAGTTTTGGCAATTTCTTGGTGCCAAGCCTCATGCCAAATGTATTGATACAGACAGAGGGCATTTTGAAGTACATTCAAAACTCAGAAATACCTCCATTTTCGACAAAGATAATTCCAAATGACATGCAATCATTCAGTTAATGTTATTTCTTTTTTGTGCCAACTGTTTAGTAATGAGATTTTTTGAAATGGTATAGTGACTTACAGGACACCCTGTATAGGCTTCTTACGGTAGTTCACTAGCATGTCTGAGTACTGCTAACAAACTTTGCCTTTCCATATCTTGCTTCTGAGGTCATTGATCTATATGCAATCTTCAGGAATCAAAAGCTTATTCCCTTTTCATTCTAACTGCCATTAAAACTTTCATTCAAATACAATATAATACAAGAAAATTCCCTTTTCCCAGCATTAACTTTTCTTTGAGACACCCTGTACTCAAAATGAGCAAATTTAGGGAATTGTATGTCTTTCTGTGGCTTCTCACTGCCTCTTCATTACCTATGATGTGGTCATTGTTTGAAAGCTCTTATGCAAAAGGGCTAGCAATCAGCATCAGTTTGCCATTAACCAGAGAATATGAGAATTTGATGTTTTGAATTCCAGGAAAATGATCTTCCAAATTAACCAATTTAGCCAAGCAAGGAAGAATTTATGTTTGAGCTTTCACTTTGGTATTTTTTAGTGTTTAAGAAAAGATGCAACTTCCAACTGTGGGAACTCATCCTTGTTATAGTTGAAATTTATCAACAATACTACTTGCAAGCTTCCTAAGCTTGAAATACATGCTCTGAATCCATTTCATAGTGGTTTCTTTCCAAAATGTTGTCAGTTGTGAATGTCACTAACAACAATGTGCAATGCATATGGTGACCAACATGGAATGAGACATTGGACTGAAATTTTCTTCAACAAGTATAATTTCAAATGTGAAAAAATACACCTCCAAGGTGAAAATGCACACAAATCCAACTGAGACACTGTGCAGTATATCATATTCTCTTGCAATAAGACATATCCATTACTCATTTCAGCATAGCTAAATCATGAAGTGTTTCACACAAAAGACATTCCTCTCAACCGAAGAAGGAACCCCATAATAAGGCCAAATGAAGTCTCAATCAAATCTTACACACCAAACTTCTATTCAACAATCAAATTCATAAAGAATAACAAAAGGCCCTAAAAAAATCACAGTGACAGACCATAGGTTCCCATTTGCATGCCCAAACCCCACTTATGTCCTTATCTTTTAATCCAAATTACCACTAAAGAAGAAAAGCAGTTTTTAAAAAAAGGCAGAATGGACCTTGTCAATCTGTACCCTGAGATTCTTAATGTGTATGAGATGGGAACCAGGAAGAGACACTATGAGCCCACTTACCCTCTGAAAAATTAATGCTCTTCAAATGCATAAATAGTAGGCTACCAGATCACAGACTTTTGCACCACTGCAAGTATTTGTATGTTCTAAGAATTTCTTGCAAAAGTAATTCAAACCTATCTCGATTAATTCAGGGGAATGCATGGTCTTCATAATATTGAACTCTTGGTTGAATGGTGAAGTTGTTGAACTGAAAAAATATAGAATCAGGCAGGTTGATAAACCAGAAATGGGAAATGAGAGATCGACTGAATCAGACCAGTGCAATAGTCACCTGAATAATGCCAAGCCCTATCTCTTTCTTTCTCACCAAAATCAACTTTCAACCTCTGACTAAAGGATACCAATGGGCAACAACATTTCATTTTAAAAAAATCAACTCAACTTCCCAATTTCAAATTTCTTGAAGATCTCTGAGGCTGTGAAAATGCAGGAGTCTATTATTCCTGCCACAGTGAAGGTCCCTCCAATTATAGCACAGATCTAATGGAGAGAAGGATAAGTACTTTAGAACTTGAAATTAAAAGAACATATATCTTTCAATCATTATCAAAGGAACTGCTTTATCACATGAGAATTGAGAATAGTAAGATGATCTATGTAACAAAAGTAGTTTTACCATTTCTCAGACAACAAGTGAGAGGTAGGCATCTAATACGATGATGACATCAGCTGCATTGAAATATAGTGCTGCTACTTCCTTTGATCCATAGATTTTCCTCTACTGATATCAAAATATAGAATGTACACATCCTAACAAGAGCAAATAGATTGCAATATAACTCACAGTGGTTAGAAAACTGTAGAAAGGAGCACTCTTCTCATGATACTTGACAGTGATTGGGTTGAGATCATAGCGAAACCAGAGGGCTGGGATCACACGTCCTCCATGGCTAAAGGATACAAAGCTCTAAATTTTGAAAGAAAATGACACATATTATCATTACAGTTTTGATTGGGTCAGGTACACAGTGGAAAACACTGATGCAACTTACACGGTATGCATAAGTGTACTGGTAAGACACCATAGTATTCCCATAATAATCTTCATAAATGGTGGGAACAACCTTCATCACATAATCATGAGACTCTACAGCTGGAGGAAACAAAACAAGTTTAGTAACATGCTCACAAAATTCAAGGGTTCACCTAGGAATAAAATGAATTTAAGTCCATCTCAAGCAATAAACATACCAGTGTTATCAATCTTGCTCCAGCCTTTCAGAGGATTGAAGCTGCCAGGCACATTTGGATTTGTAATCAATGCACCAAACCTTAGGTCATGGATTATATGAGCAAAGTTTATCTCCTCTGGCTGCTCTTCAGCTGCATGGGTTGATACATGGAAGTTGCCTGAAAATGAATGAAAGCTCTAGAGTAGGAACGTTTTTGAGATGCTTTATCCAGAACCAACCTAGTCATAAACTAGCAAATAACCTGTCTTGAGATAAGTTATGAGAATGAAGAAACTCCCCTATTCTGCTAATGCATGCTTCTTCAGTTGACTTGATCTGAATTCCAAACAAGTCATGGGTTAAAGTTTTTATTTAACAGAAATATTAATCACTTTGAATCAATCCTGAATTAACAGAAATCATTCACTCTAAAGCTCACTAAAATCTGCAGAGCACAAGCCATGCTGCATGTCTCAATCTTGTGCATATGACCTGCAAATGACCCCCTTATGGAAAATGAAATTCAGAAGTTTCTGGAATAAGAAATGAGTGAACCATTTCCAAACCAAACACATATGCATGATCATTGAAGGCAAATCACAAATCCTTCCCCTAGAGGAATTCAGATAGTTAGCTAACTAGAGTACCAGCCCAGGTGCAGATCTGCCATTCCACAGACCATGATATCTCTGGGGTCATTATCCTCTGCTACATCATAATCATCCAACTTTTTCAATACAAAAGTTGTCATTTGTGTGTCATAGGTCTCTGTGAGTAGACCAGGAGAACTCCAGAATGTCCACTACAATTTGTGCATACATTGTGTAAGAAGATGGGGGGGGATTAAAACATATCAGATGCTAGAAGCAACATTTCACAAGTTTGGCCAGCAACCCTGTTTGCTCTGGCACAAGCAGCTGCTCTCTTCCTTCATCAACTATGGATCTGTCAGAAGGGAGGGCCAGAAGGGAACAGGAAGTTTTGGTAGGTGACTGACACAAAACCTAAGCAAAAGGCTGCATGTGTGCAAAGTCAAGTTCTCCTATTGCTATGGCAACCATGGATAGATAGAATGAAGAATAATTCCAATAAGGAAAAAGGGACAAACTGACATCAATATCAGCCATTTTCCCAAAGGTCACCGTGGGACTGACAGATAATTACTGTTCAGGGAAATGATAATGGTTTGGAAACATATCATAATATGGAGTACCAAAGCAAGCACCCTGCACATATATCTGTCAGGGCAGTGAGGCAGAAAAAGTTAGAGAAACAGGAGACTCAGCCCATAACTCTTTCAATCATGTCATAGAAGTGGATCTCCCATATTGGTCAGAAATATCATCTACTGGAATAATTCCTTTTTTATTACCTTAGGTTCATATTTGCAACTTAAAAATATTAAGTTCAATTCTACAATCATGTTTCAACAAGGTATAACATTGTTTGTCATAGGGTATCACCAAGGTATAAGAATTAAATTTATCATATAGGATGAGGTCCAGATAGATCAACAGCTAGGCAAAAAAAAACAGAACAGACATATTGTCCTAGTTTTATACCACAAGGAGGTTTGCCTTAGCTCCCCTCATATTCACACTACTTATGAGTCCTCTGAATTGTCCTTCTGGAAAAAAAAAGGAAGATTCAAGCTAGATCATCCTTTATGGAAATCATAACTGAAGATATTATGGAATGACCTGATGTGAAGGTGGTAGTGACAATATCAACATACTGAAAAAATCCAACAGAAATAATAAAACGACTGTAAAGGCTTAAATTTGACAATATTTCAAAGCATATCTTTGTGTGTCCTGTTCATTCATAATTTTCAAGCTGCCAGGGCTCTGAAAATGTGGTACCATCCAATCTTGCAAATTACTCCAGGTAGAAATTTTCAGCATGGATTTCATTTCAACAGACCTCATGATACTAAAGCCAACATGATTCCAAGCTTTGTTTCCTTGTCTTTCAGAGGTGCAATCTCACACAAGTTTTACTCTTACATGTATGTGTTGTGGCTATCTCGTTCTTATGCATTTTCTATTGAACGAAATTATCCAACAAGAAATATAGGTGGGCAAACATACCAGGGACTTTGTTGATGAAGAAGGATGCTTCAAAAAGACACCCCTTGCCATCAGCAATGGGAACCTTCACCGTGTTTTCTACAAACCCAACTTCATGCCTTCCCATATCATCTTGAATGTCAAGGCCAACAGCTGCCAATGCAAAAAACACATATCAATTATTAAACATATAACTTAGAGCAAAAGTGCAATACTTTACATAACAAGGATCTTGAGATGCACCAAAGATTCAACCATAGGCACAGGCAGAATGCCCAAGTATGCAATACCAAATATTTTATTTCTTGACAAAATAAGCAAACAATAAAAGTGGATGCATTATAAGTTCATGCAGATTTGAAGTGCCTCTGTGCACCAACAGAAGTCACTCAAGTTGCTTGACAAAGTAACCTTTGTTCAGACAAAAAGAATCCCATTTAACTTTTACCACTTTTGTGTCCAATGAGCTGAAAAATGATTTTGGAATGTTCCTTTTCCTGATTTATAGGTCCTGAAACCAGGACCTGTGAAAGGTATCAAATGTATTGTATGTATTGAACAATACACAAATGGTAAAACAGGAAACAAGATTTAAGAACATTCAACATTCTGTTAAATTGACAAGGTATTCAGCTGAAGCCAAGCATTCAGTCATGGGCCTGAATAAGTGAAATACTAACTCCATCTCTGGTGCATCCCTAAGCTAGACCAATCAAAGCACACAATATTATGCCTCCTAAGCAACCATGACTGACTTGCACAAACAGAATACAATAACATTGGGTTGATAGTGCATTCCTAATTCCATCACCATAACAAGAAGGTATACATGTTCAGTACATAAAAGCAAAAGTCTACCATGAACACTGTCACCACGGATGAATAGCAGAATATGACCTAAAGGTGACTGCACAAGTGGACCAGGGCACTGCCTGAAAGCTTCTTTAAGGGGTAATGACAAGCAAACGAACAACTCTAGCTCAACATTTTCAGCTTATGAAAAAAATTAAGAAGGCAAATACTGAACATAAGCACACATCTCATGTATCTCACCAGAGAAGTGACAGCTGGCCTGACCTGGAAGATAATTTTATGGGTTTATTAGTCTGAAAATAATATGGAGTATCAACATCTCGCATTTGTATGTTCAGCATCATGGACTGAACCTGACTGCATGATAGGCTGGTTATGGTTGGGTGTCTTGCCTACTATTCATTGGTTATAGCAGGGGTGCTCGAACCTATTGACCTCACAAGTCACATGAAATGAAATTAAGGAAGCTTTCTCCTCAGGGACCAGTCATCTAAATCTTCACTTAAAGTAATGAAAAAAGGCCAGATGCAAGCAGCAAAATTTCCTTCACTGATCTCCATTTAAACCATATAGTGAAGAGAGCCATTAAGTTGGGATTTCAGTCCCTCGCAGTAGTACCACTACAGGGTGGGAGAAAACCTTTTTCTCTCCCCCTGCAGCCAGCAGCATTTTTGTTGTTGATTTCATGAGCAGTATTATGTGAAAGCCTGATTAATTTGGAATGGTTTCTGATCCTTTTCAGATTAAGATATCAAAATGGCTGGTACTTATGACAGTGAGAAGCTGAGAAAAAAATTTTTTTTCCCAATATTGGATTATCACTATCCAATATTGGCTTGAAATCATCCTTGGCAGTCTTCAAAAGGCATCAAGAAACATAGGATGGCCTGCATTTCAGGCAGAAAATATTGGCCCAGCATGTCATTCACTTCCTTCAAGATGACGAGAATGTACTAATGGGCTCACCACTTTAGCTCATGATAATGCTCCTTGAAAAAAAAACCCATGCAACACAGGCAAAACTAGAGGCAAATGGGGTCAACTTCTGGTGAAATGACAACATGCTAGGAAACTCACCAGACTTGTATGAAACAGAAACCCAAGAAAATAGGAATTCCCCTAAAATTCTTCAGAGAAACCTTGTGGATATGCTCTAAGACATGGAAAACTGGAAATATTTGTTTGAGAAAGACTGAAATCCCACCCTTGTCACTTGGAAGCCATTTGTCATGAAGGTGTTGGTCCCACATATTCCTAAACAGATCATTTCAGTTCCATTTGGATTACAAAATGTAAATTTGTGTAGGTTTTCTAAGCTTCTTTCATACTGAGCTCCAGAGGGGGAGAAAATGGTTCTGTCCCTTCAAGGTTCTCACTTTTGCTTTTATTTCTTTGAATTTCCCTTAACCCATTCATGAGAACATCATGAAACCACTAGGTGAGAAGCACTGATCAAAGAGTTTCAACATTTAGCTCCTTCACTAGACCAATAAGGCCAAATTTTTCGCCTTTTTGCAGAAACTTTATGAAGTGATGTGTCTGCATATAAATGAAAGATTAGTCAGATGTTGTCAGGGCACCTAATAGAATCCTATTGCATCAATCTTCAGACCTCAATATTGTTGGTATGAGTTTGCATCTGAGGTTCTGCTTGCTTCTGAGGGTTGTCTATAGGACAAAAAGGCATCAAACCACTAGCCATGAAGCTAGGCACCAAGCAAGTAGCTATGCATACTAGCCACTTGAGGGAGAAAGCTATACAGCCTACCATTTTCTTCATTTTCAGGTTCCTTCACTGTGGATCTTTCTTTGAGAGAAATAACAGATTTCTCAAGAGCTGGGTGAAGAGATGAACTTGAAGAATACCCCCTCTCTAGTTTCAATGCTGGCATAGATGATCAGAAAAAGAGATGTCAACATGATTTCTCTGATGAAATGGAGAAAGTTATTCCACTCTAGGCGATCCTTGGTCCCAAATAGGACTTATTCCCAAATCCATCATGATTTATTTCTACATTTTAGCCTATACAATGGAGCTTGTCTAAATACCCCACTAGTAGCCACAGGGTCTGAAATGGTTATGATTACACATATATGACACATTTGAAACATTGATGGGAAGACATACATATTGATTAATAGGCCCATGATCCCTGATCTTGTCAACATCAGATGTGAATATTTCAGAGTACAACATGCAAATTAAAATCTCTATGGATTAAAAGAGTTTTACATATTCTTCCTAAGTGAACATAGTGGAAACCCATGCATTTCAACTCTTATCCTTCTGCATGCAAATACACACATCATCACTGTGCATTAAGCAATAAATCCCAGAAGTGTAGGAAAATCATTGTCAGCCAATATTCAAACAGAATAGCAAAACACACTTTGGGAGCATATCCCTACCTTTGCAGTTGAGATGAGGAAGAGATACGTTGATTCGAACAGGAATACGTTCTTCATGATGCCCAGGATTATCAACAAACAAATCTGAGACTCTGAAAATGTGAAATGTCATTACAATAATGTGAAATGCCTTAATGTAATAAATGTCAAGAAGTTGGCATGCTCTACTTCCATCAAGCTCATGGTTTACCTAAGGGCTAAACTTCTCTTTTGAAGTAAAAGAAAAACAGAGAATGTTGCATATATTGAGGTAGGATTGGGCAAATATATAATCGAAAATAAATGTAATTGAGGAAATCCTAGTTTTTTTTTGTCTCATTCACTTCTTGCTAGTAAGGAATTTTGAATTTCCATTTTTGATGGTATAACAGAAATAAAATATATTATCAAGGGAATTTTTGTTCACACCTTCTTTGAAAATACAGTTACCCTATTGCATCATACTAAGAACCAGAGAAAAGTCCCTATACCCAACTTCAGAAAAAACTCAGCTAAATTCCAACTTAACTTCATCCAAAACAAGTGGCCCTGACCAGTCAAAATTGTAATGTTTTATAATGCTAAATAACATCAGATACATCACCTTTCTGGTGCCTGTATTATTTTTTCGTATTCTGTTCTCCTTTTTTGGCTAGATATACTGGATTTTGCTTGAATGAGAGATACAAAGTGCTTCTGACTGCTGAGGGAATTATTAACCCTTTAATGCATGACATAGCAGGTATGCTACATTCCAAATAAAATTTTTTAGAATGCATAGATAGTGAGCTCCTGAGGTAAATAAGTTTCTAGCAGATGTGCAACAGTCTGGTCCTTGTACCTAGCAACCATGCAATCATTAGGTGTCATACACTCCTGGTGGCAAGCAAAGTAAAAACACAAGGCTTCATTGAGTGACAGACCAACATTATTGGTGCAATTATTTTCAACTTTACACTAATCCAGGGTCCAGGTTTATCTGGATTTTTACATTTTCTTCTGCATTGAGGTATGTGCAAATGTTGATGGACTGACTGAGCTCTCTAGAGTCCATGCAGCATGGGTTAGAAAGCTGAAAATGCTGTATGTAGTAAATGAGCAACAACATTTTCGGGCCTACTACTTACAAATTCATGAAATTCATTTTCATCCACTTTCCCATGTTCTAGGACCTAAGTAAAACCTACCAGATTTTTTTCATAGAAAAAGGAAAAAATCCTGCATTAAAGGGTTAAGTATGCTTCACTTGGACTCATCATGACTAAACTTAGCTATTTCCTCCAGGCATTAAAAGTTTTTATCCATTTTTCTTTAGCCTAAAACCAGTGAGAGACTTAAATTCAGCAGGCTTCTCAAATCTTGAGTCACTAAATCAATTGCAAAATGAAAAATCTAATACCCTCAAAAACCTGCTAAAAGGCCATGAGAAAAACAAGACAGTGAAATGAAGAACAGAGCAAATGCAACTTCTAACTCACATTTCTGTAGACATGAAAGACATGAATTCTGACAGGAAGAGGAACGTCATGAAGATACAGCATGCTATCGATATTACAGCGCCAGTCAAGGTTGGTTGGGTTAGGTCTTTGGGTACCTTCCGATAGATGTCAAACCTGAAAAGAATGTTGACAATTTTGAATTGAACAATTCCTGGATATCCTAATAAGAGCAGCGGAAAGGCCAATAGTGCTATGTTACTATCAAAACTCACCTCTTCACATCAAACTTCATGTTGGTTTGCCTGATGAATTCTCAGAGGCCAGCAATGGCTTCTACAGTGATATTTGAAATCAGGATAGATCAACTCTCAAACCTGGGTGGATTGACTGACCTATTAGCACTTTCACCAGATTCCCAGATGTGATATAAGGCCTACCAACAAAGGTGACCTGGTCTTACAACCATACCAGACAGAGTTCAAGTTTCTGTGACCTGCAGCACACGAATCAAGGCTCCCACAAAATTGCAAGTCTATTCCTAAAAAAGATAGTAGGTAATCTGAAAACATTGAATGCCAACCGGAAAACAACTAGGCCAACAAGGTTAGCCCTAACGTAGGCTGCGCATGGTGTTCTCCATTCGACTTCGCCACCTTTTCAGATAACTCCAACACTCCTTTCTGACTCGTCTTTCATCATGAATTAGTATTGCAGTTAGAGTAAAATGGACCGCCGAACTAAAACAAAAAAACTATGACAATCCGGAATTTCTAAATTTCATTTTTCAAATAAATTTCACTTCTTCACTCAACTAGGATAAGCCTGGTGCAAGCTAGGGTCTTAAATCCCCAGCATCGTGCAATGATTTCATTGGTTATGGTAGTCGTGTCAGACTCGGCGGACTCAATAGCCTAATTATTGAATTGTCGAAATTTGCTGACAAAATTGCACACAAAAAAAAAACAAACAAACTAGGCTTAGAACAAGCGGTATCAGGACGCCACCATCTTGTCTTCGCTTCACTATTTCCATGCGTGCCTCGTGGCATGAGCTGCTTGGCAGGCTCTGAATGACCTACGAGGAAGAGTCGACGGGATCAAGGCCGTTGAACCCTGTCTTGGGTACATGAACGGATTCCCGATTCCCAATTCCAGTTGATAAGATTCCGCAGAAACCGCCTTCCCGCATGCATGTCCCTTTCCTAGTCACTATTAGGGCGTGTCGGGATTTTCGATACAACGCCTAGGTCGAAAAAATTATCGACACCTCCAACCATCGAAAGTGGTATCGATGCATCGATCTATCGTGACAGCCCTATTAAATATCTGTACTTCTCTTTATGGGACAGCATCGCTTGTTCAAGGGCAATAAGGTCAATAAGAAATTGGAGAAGTGTTCGACTCTGGTATTAAGCGCCAATACCTTGTAGGAGCGACAAATCAAGTGGAATTAGGCTTCATTATAATCTGAACCCATTTATTACAGCATAATATTCATGGATGCCATTTCAATTGCCAACATGCTGTCGATGCTACTTTTCGATACAATAAAATCTAATGGATGACATTCAATAAAGACTTATTAACATCTCCCAACACCTAACATTTCCTTCAGGGAGAATTTTGAGACGATTGCATTGTCTTGTTGCGATGATAACAATTGTACTGATCCAACAACTTCAAAGCCTCTTCCTGAGCTTCTTTTGCAGTCTCAACGAATACCGCGCCGCGCACGTCCTTGAGCCACTGCTGGTGAAAATTTTTTACTTTCCCATAATTGTTATCAAGAACGACATGTGGAATGCTCATCATCGTCGTGAGAATGTGTGCGTGGAGACGGTCACAAATCACAACTTTTCCTTGTGCCAGAAATCGAAAGCCATCGAGGGTCCTCAGTTTTGCACGCAAAGTAAGAGTCTTCCGTTTTGCAAGCGAAATAAGAGTTCTATGATTTGCGCGAGAAGCAATAATCCTCTCTTGTGCAAGTGAAGCAAAAGTTCTTCGAGAAACATTCTGAAGGCTTTCAACTTTCGTCGGCCAGTCACCAACCTTTACGGTGATGTTTGGAGGCCAGCCTTCGCGAGGAGGTTCTAATTCGGGAACTTTCTCTTTGTCA